GCGATTGGTTATGATAAATTAGTCTTAAACAAACATTACTTAGCAAACTCGAAAACTTTCTTGTGTTTATTACTACTAATGCATATGCAATTAAGGAAATTAATTTTCAGGACCTGTCGGTTTGATCTCCTTGATGATCGCAAAATCCACAAATGCGGCAGCGGTGTTGATTACGGATATCGTAGACTGCAGGTTGGCCATTGCTAAGGAAGTTGGAGCAGACGAGGTGCTAAACGTGCGAGGCAAATCTACCAATGATGCGGCCGAACTCGTGAAGCAGAAATTGGGTGCTGAACCTGATGTTGTCATTGAATGTTGTGGTGTACAGCCCAGTATCGAGCTTGCTATTAAGGTCAGCAGCCATCAGATTATGCATTATTGCTGTTCAATATTTTCAATTTACTCATGATCAGTTGATCGGTCACTCGTAAAAGAAACTAATAGTCCTTTCTTTGTTACAAGACATTCAAAGATATTAGTAGTAAGAATAAATTAATTGTTTACCTACAAATTTTGTCAAGTAATGCCATTTATTTTATTTGGAGATTTAGTCTGTGAAAGACGGAGGTAATGTGATACTTTTGGGCCTAGGCTCGGAATTTGTACAAATTCCAATACTGGAAGTGATTACCAAAGAGATCAATCTTCGTGGAGCCTTTAAATATTCTAATACGTAAGTAAGGTTTTGATAGTTAAATTTATCAAATCTTATCAAACTGTGACCACTGATTTTCAAATATTTACTCATCTCAGGTTCTGTTGCCAACATAACTATCATTTTACGCACAAAGAAATTTTTTGTATTTGAAAGTAAAAGTGACAGTTTGGTTTGCTTCAAATATTTGAATGAAACTGTGCATATGTAAACGGTTAAAGCTAATACGTTCATAATACGTTGCAAGCCTCACAAATGATTTTTTTGTGATTTCAAAAGTTAGAAAGTAGCGGTAATAAGTCCTTTTTGCTCTTTCATTTGTGTAGTAAATAAATAACCATGCAAACAAAAATTTTTGAAAAATTTGGTTTTGTGACAAAAAAGGATGGATTGTGTGGGTAAAATGAATGAAACAAGTTTGTGTTTAGAAAACTTTCAAATTTCCATCCGAAAAAACCTTTACTCGTTTGAAATATTTTATTCGCTTTGTCTATTTTCCCACTTGTCATTTTTCAGTAAATTCATTCAGATTCAAGCGCATTTTTGGTTTTAGCTGTATTAGTTTATACTTGTTTTATCATTGCATAAATTGTATTGCAAGACAATTGAAAAGTGAAATTGAAAGATAAGCAAAAGTTTGTTGTGTATTTAAGATGGCCACCAGCAATGGAATTGGTACGGTCAGGGAAGGTCAAACTTGACAAACTCACCAGTGCTCATTTCAAGCTACAAGATGCACCTGAAGCGTTCAAGTGTTCTCAGAAGGGTGAAGTGATCAAAGTTTTCGTCGACTGCAACTGACAACAACAACAGCAGCTTCATTCAAAATAGCACTCATATCTGCTGCTCCCCATAGTTGTCAGCTGCATCGATGATTGACCAAACTTTTAGAAATTGTACAAAGAATGTATACATCTAGTTTTTTTCACCTGTAGAAAGTACATATGTGCATAAAATTTTTATAAGTAGACGATAATTCACAAATATTATATAGTACGCACGCGTTCACACACACGCAACTACGAAACTGTCATGAATTTATCTTCATATCAAGGCTTTTGCGTTCAAATATAAAAGCGCTTAAAATTTGTGTTAATTTTGGGAAGTATTCAAGTGCAAAGTGCTCGTATATCATCTTTTTTTGCGTTCACGTATGAAATGAGCACAAATTATTCAACAC